TATATTTTATTATTATTTAAATATATATTTATATAAAAATTTTAATATTATTAATTTAATATTAATTAATAATTAATTAATAAATTAATTATAAAATAATAAAAATAATTTATTAAAATTTTATTAATATAACTTTAATAATAATAATAAAAAATAAGTAATAAAATTTTTTTGACCTTTTTTTTTTTTTTTCTTCTTGGTCCTTCAATTCCGGCCTAACATCATGAGTTTTCCAATATCTTGGCCCTCCGTACCTCCGGGAAGATACTGGAAAACTCATAATGTTAGACCTCCATTTCCGGAAAGAAAAAAAAAAAAAAAAAAGGTCAAAAAAATTTTCCCTCGCGGGAGGCATTATTTTTGGAGTATGTGACTTGTTAATTATTTTTTAGAGTATGTGACTTGTGTTAATTTTTTAGTATATAGTTTATTGTAAGTAAAGAAAGGAAGAAAGAAAAAAAAAAAAAAAGGTAGAATCCGTCGGAGACATCCAATCCGTGTACGGGGAAAGAAATGCGATAGTAAATGAACGCCTTATAGTATAAACGCCTTATAGTAAACCTAATCCCCACCGGATATATATTAAAAATCTGAATCATCTTGAAGCTTCACTTTTCCAACACCACCGGGAAGCTTCCTTATTATACCGTTAATAGGCCCCCTTTCATCTCTTGAACCATCACTACCATCACTATGAATACTACTCATCAAAGTCGTAACGGAGCGGTCTAACGAAGGGGTTGAAGACCCGTCATTTAAACGAGCCTTCTTGCGACCTCTCGAGGCATCACTGTCATAATCCTCATCCGACCCTCCTTCCTCATCGCTCCAACGCACCATCTCCCCACGACTAACGGAATAGAACCAATCATAGGGATTTTCCACATAATCGTTATAGTCAATAGAGGACATGGCATCTCCAACAGTACCCGGGGTGCTCTTGTCCTTTTTTTCTTGCTGAGATAGAGTCAGCGGAATACTGGTAACCTTAAATACGTGTCGGATAACGTGCTTATATGTCTCGGCCGTTGGATCATCCTCCCGAACACGTATTCTCCAGCCCTGGGGTCGCTTAGAATTAAAGATACAGAATAGCCGGTTGTTAAATATCGTCCAAGCAAAACGAGCAAATACGAACTCAGGTCGAATACCGTATAGCGTGTGAGGCTGCCTGTTGTGCCAGAGCTCCAGCTTCTCCTGTCTAGCCCCGGCGTGGAGGGCGCTAAGCATATGCATGACCAGCCCACATGTCCCATCAGGTCGGCGCTTCGGAACGAACGTCATGTCTTTCGAATCCCAGATCTTGTGGACGTCCGAGCGAAGCAGGATGGTATTTGCCACATCCCGAACGCCAACCGCAGTCTCTTCCGAATGATATCTCTTCATCGTATTGTCGTTAAACCAATCGTCCGCAGAGATAGGAACCCAATGGGCTTGCTCAACACCACCGCGAGCGAGCGTCATGCGACAGGACTCATCTCGAACGAGGACCTTATCGCGAAAGGTGCCGGGGGATATCGCGTACAGATGGGAGGGATTCGGCTGGATGCCGTGACCCTCCAACCAGAGGGAAGGCACATTATCATGCGGGAATTCCCAATGATGGAAGTTAGGCGTAACAGGATACGGCGATTCTTCGTCGGTAGCGAAGAGGGGGTCGTGGAGGTAATACGCTCCGACAGGAAGTATCCCGTCGTCGGGAACGACTATTGCTG